GCACCGTTGGTCTAATGGTTAGGATATCTGCCTTCCAAGCAGATGGTCCGGGTTCAATTCCCGGACGGTGCATAGTTATCTATGCTTTGTGCCTCTGTTTTACTGAAGTCTTCCACCCATGTTTAAGGAGACATACGCAGTCGAGCAGCTTGGCGCAGTGGATAGCGTGTTGGGCTCATAACCCAAAGGTCCCTTGATCGAAACAAGGAGCTGCTACTTATTAAAAGCTGTCATAGTGGGATACGTGTTAGCATCTGACATGCTCTACCCGCACCCCTGGACAATGTTGAGTCCCGCAAGATGTTCGAGGCTGATGACCAACATTGCTCAGGGGGGGACAGGGGGTACACTTGGACCTTCCCAGCTGTCAAATCCCAAATTATCTCTCATTCGTCCTGCTCTTCCCTTGCGTATCACGAAAGCTAAAATAATGTACTTTCCGATGCAGGGACTCGAACCCTGGTCGCGTGGGTGAAAGCCACGAATCCTAACCAGCTAGACTACATCGGACTGGCATTAAAGATCAAATTTGATCCCGTCCAATTTTCCGAAACATCATGCAACGAACTGCGCAACTTCGAAAAGCGACTTCTGTTCGTTCACTGATTCGCCGCGCCTGCCTCCGGCATGCTAGAGCCAGTTATTTCCGTACTAGATCGCAATCAGAGCGTTCCTCCCGACCCGTTCCGTCGCCACGGTCACCATCTCAACCCGACCCATCAGAATTGACTAACCCTCAATCATACATCGCCGTGGACAACATTTCATCATCTGCAACAGAGTGTGACCTTGCAAAGATACAGCGAAACTCAACAATTTGGTATGACTGAATGCATGCGCATGCAGTTCATACCAAACAATCCTCAACTGTCACACTAGCAGAGCGGTGACGGGTCTAACCAATTTTCGGGCGCGAATCACCACAGAACAGTTGCATGCCGCCTAAGCACTACAAGGCTTGGACAGTCTTCACCATCACCAACCGGCGAGTCATCGGCGGTGACACGGCAAGACTAATAAAAAGATCTTATATTGTCTACTCTTATTATTAACTGAGGCTGTCACACTGCTACCCAACATATTTTTAACGCCTGCCAACGATCGACGGCCTACAAATCGTGTCAAAGATGACTGCAGTGAGCTGTGACACGCGTTACTTCGCTGTCACCCTACAGCGGTCAGCCATCTGAGCAGCGTATCTAATTCATACCATCTCGGCCAGAACTCTCTCAGTTTACGATGATATGGCACTAGTGTAGGCACAGAGCTATGCCCAAGGCCAAGATTTGGAATCCATGCACTACTACACTAAAGTCACACTATCTCGGGTTCTGAGTGCGCAAGTTGCAGGCACGGGCCACAAGCATGAGTAGTGACTGCGTTGGCACCAATCTGTACCAGTGAACCACATGATGCGCATTAAGCAATTGTTTTATTTTGGAATTTAAGATGATCCCTAGCCTGTTCAATGCCTTGTATGACTTGCCAACATCTATATCGTCCAGATCGGAAGCACCGTTGGTCTAATGGTTAGGATATCTGCCTTCCAAGCAGATGGTCCGGGTTCAATTCCCGGACGGTGCATAGTTATCTATGCTTTGTGCCTCTGTTTTACTGAAGTCTTCCACCCATGTTTAAGGAGACATACGCAGTCGAGCAGCTTGGCGCAGTGGATAGCGTGTTGGGCTCATAACCCAAAGGTCCCTTGATCGAAACAAGGAGCTGCTACTTATTAAAAGCTGTCATAGTGGGATACGTGTTAGCATCTGACATGCTCTACCCGCACCCCTGGACAATGTTGAGTCCCGCAAGATGTTCGAGGCTGATGACCAACATTGCTCAGGGGGGGACAGGGGGTACACTTGGACCTTCCCAGCTGTCAAATCCCAAATTATCTCTCATTCGTCCTGCTCTTCCCTTGCGTATCACGAAAGCTAAAATAATGTACTTTCCGATGCAGGGACTCGAACCCTGAAGTACCCCCGAACATGACATTTACTAGCTTGGTGGAAATTACAAAGTGCATGTAAGGCGAATGTTGCCACCAGGAAACGATGATATTTCAACCGCCATATGAGGGAATCAGATGGTGTGGATGATGTGCCAGCCCTTCCAACCTTCAGGGGGTCGATCTCCAGAAGCCTCCATGAACCTCGAAGAAAAGATTAAGGCTACCCAACGAACCATTTTTATCCATCGGACAGAGAGCCCATCCTGGTGTTTACTCCAAAATAGCCCTTGCAGGGCCCACTTCAATCGCAGGAGGTCCATCCGCAATTGACTTAGCCTTTTCCCAGTCCCCTTCGACAAAGGAACAGAACATCTGGCGGAATATATCCCTCTGAATCTCGGATAAACCTGAAACAGACAGACGCTATACGTGAAGCGCTGGGATTTGATGCTCCAAGTTCGCGAATCTAGACGACCACATAGTGCGACAGGTTGAGTGGAAGCCCTAACCTTTAAGGAGACCACGCGCACATACCTCTGGCCTCTATCACCCGGTTAACATCAACATCAATGGTGAATAAATACTCTGGAAACTCATCTGTGAATACCGTGTCTTCTACTTCTCCCAGAGCTTCAGGTTTTACTAGACATCCGACCTAACACGGATAAGTTGGGTTAAGTGATTGGCATTGTGCTGCTGCATCTACCTTGCGTGGTATCTTGGTCACCCTATACGATAGTCCTGTTTGGCCAGTGAGTGTGGTTAATGCCAAAGCGTAGATAGCACGAGGCTCAGGAGAAGTCTCTCCTAGACGAATATAGTCGATCAACATAAAGGAACTCTTCGTATGTACCTTCGAAATAAAAGCTACTCACCCAGAGGAGACGTATAAGGAGCTGTCAGGAAGGCTATCCCGATCAATAATATTACCGATGCCATGAGATAAACCTTACTACTGATGATCAGTGGTACCTGGAAAGTATAGATAATTACCTAGCGATTTGGCATTCGTGTTGTTTATTCTGGATGCGAAGATCTCGAATTCATCCATAGTTTGGAATTATTTCTCAGTGACGGCGAACGTGCCTCCGTAATTCAAGAATACGAAACTAGTACATCGTAAACCCTAGTGAGTTCTTGAAGGGTTAGTGTCCATTTCACATCCGCTCCAAGGTAGCTCGCATCAATCTTGAAGTCACTTCCGACAGGTCCCTCGATCGCATAACCCGCATTGAATGCTATGCCCAGGTCGACCTGAAACGGAACGCCTCTGACGGGGTTATAGCATTGCTGCTTCAAGACTCACTTCGGCATTTTTCGGGCCGCTTATGTATCGCTGGATCTCACAAATGATCTTAGCACCACAGAACAAAGCTTTATCCGCAAGCCTAGCTCGTCTGAGAACACGTTCCTGACATTATTACTGATTACAAATGCGTTCATATCCAATGGGGCGCTAACTCACACTTTTAATCTCCCTTTTCTGATGAGGATCGTATTGACTTTCCAATTTCCAAACGAGAAGGAACCCATTATCGATATTCTGATTCGATACTCCACCCCTGATAAGAGCGAGAGGAGAACAACAACAACAGCAACAACAACAACAACAACAACATCAACAGCAACAACAACAACAACAACAACAACAACAACATCAACATCAACAACAACAACAACAACAACAACAACAACAACAGCAACAACAACAACAACAACAACAACAACAACAAAAAAAACAACAAAAACAACAAAAAAAAAACAACAACAACAACAAAAAAAACAAAAAAAACCAGAAGTAAA